ACTAAAAATCATATTAAATCAAGTGAACCTCTAAATTTACACAGTAAGCAATGTTTATGCTCACAATACAAAACACAGACTTCCCAAACATTGTTGGCCATATTGGCAGCCTGTTTGGTGGCCATCTTGGATTTTCAATGAAAATCATTAATTTGTATAATTTATTAGTTAAAAATCATAAAAAATCAAGTGAACCTCTAAATGTATAATAGTAAGCAGTGTTTAAGTTCTCAATACAAAACCTTGACTTCCCAATACATTTGGTGGCCATTTTGGTTGCCATCTTGGATTTTTAAAAAAATCATTAATTTAATGTATACCGTAATTTATTAAACTAAAAATCACATAAAATCAAATGTATACAGTAAGCATTGTTTTATATTATAAATACAAAACATTGACTTAGCAATACATTTGGCAACAATATTGCCGGCCATTTTGAATTTTCAATGAAAATTGATTATTGGTATAACAGTTGACCTATATATCATACAAAAAATAAGTAACCAATGTTTTTAGAGTGATGTTGTTAGGAATTGATTGGGAGTGCAGTACACTACATTCTCCCCTAACTAACTTTGAACTATACATTCAGACTGTCTGGGGCCTTAACTATTTGTGAGGATCTTCGCAATAGGGGTTTTTGATCTAGTAGGACTATTTGACCTTTGTCAACCGATTCACTCACTCCGGGGTTTTCGACCACCATTGGAGTTTCAGAGAGTGTGGAACTTTGCGTTGGCAAAGGCTCAGGGTGTGTTACCACATGTGGATCCCGCTGCTTCTCATTAACTTCCCTTGGAGTATACCCACTTACGTCATTGACAGGAACACTAGCCAGTTAGTATGACAATAGCGTAGGGCTCCCGCAACACGCACCAAATAGGTAAGAGGGCCCAACCTCTTAATTACACATCCATTTACATGCTCAATTAACTCATCTCTATTGTTTTTAACTCCAACATGTTCAACCACGTCAAATTTCCTCAAGTGCTCTACCTTACTGGCAGTGACCCTTCGCTTCTTATGCCTTAGGGTTTTGACCCAACACGACTGATACCAGGATCTTGGCCATATCCACTCTCATGAGCGCATCTTGTTTCATGCGTAAACAGTTAGCGTCCGGAGCATTTTCTCCTGGTTTGCTGGCTCCGAACTCCATGGGTTTCACCTCTTCAGGGGCGGATTTGGGGGGGGGGGCCGGCCCGGCCCCGCACCCCCCCCCCCCCTTTTGGGAGGTAAAAAAAAGAAAAAAAAAAAGGAAAAAAAGAGAGAAAAAGAAAAAAAATGATAGCCCAGAATGCCTCAAATGTTATGTTCGGGCGTCTAGAACACAACAATTTCGCGGGGGCATGCCCCAGACCCCCTACGGCAGTGTTGTCTCAATCGGCCCAACTTTCGGCCCCCGCTTCCGGCCCCCACCCCCTTTGGACATTTCTGGATCCGCCCCTGCTCTTATACTAATTCCGGCACTGTTCAACACCTTTGAACTATGATTGTTTGTCATAATTTTGTTCAGATTCATCATCAGCTCTTGGCGATGTATCCACTTCCCTCACTCCTCAGCTCAGCACCATATTTCATCTCGAGTGGGAAAATCTGAACAAAATTATGACAAATATTCCTGGTTCAACCTGTGTTGAACAATGCTGGTGGAATCAAGGTACAAGTGGTAAAACCCGGGTTTGAACTCTGGACGCTTCCTGTCTACAAACGAAGCAAAATGTGCTCCTTGAAAGGGGATATGATCGTGACCCTGGCACCAGTTCAGGTTGTGCTGGGCCCAAATTTTCTGAGAGAGCTGTATTAAATCTGCCTACACTGAACAGTGTAACAAAGTGCATTCAAGAGTATCATGTAAGGTTACATGCATATTGGTAGCAACAGAGAGAAACAACTTGTTCCTGGATTTGGTGGCTTTGTCTCAGGTCTGGTGAAAAACTCTTCTGTAAGTCAACCATCACCAGTATTACCCCTATCTGCAAGTCAGGCACATAATATCAAGTCATCAAGGATCTATGGAAGCAGTGAGAGGATGCCATCATGGAGATTGGTCAGAAGTGTGTTCTCAATACTTTGTGGCTGTAATAAAGCACCAACCAGCTATATCCCAACTTCCAACCTGTGGACCATCGGCTTGGAAACTTCAAGCAAGCTAACAGGCCGACATTCTGTTGCAACAAGCCTTGTGATTTTTCTTAGATTACTATGTACCACTCTGGTAAATTTTATGATGATCCGTTTAGAGTGATCTTGCTAAAAGGCAGACAAACAACAGTGAATGCATAACCTCCTTGGCGGTAGTAATAATAAAGTATGTGTAGAGTGGGTCCTCCATTAATTATAGTCATTTAAAGAATTACATGATTTTATAAGGGATTTTCTTTGTAAAACATCCACAAAAAATGATTCATTGGATGTAACAGCATGTGTAGTACAATAATAAACGTAGAGTAGATTTATTGTGACACATTGACTGCAGTGTTCATTGGTGTGGATAGAATTTGTGAACAGGGAGCTTGAATCACATTGGCCAGAAAATCATGGTTATTGAGTTTGACCATTAGTTTTTAGCTTGTGCCGTGGTTGGACTAAAATTATTTTTTAAATATTCTTTATACCATAGATTAGGCCTATACCATTAAAAAGCCAGGATCAGAGCGTTTTGTATTAAATTTTGAGTGTAAATAAAGTGACTTCTCATATTTTTGTAGTTTCAGTGTATCAAACCTGCTTATAGGTCATGGATCTCAATCAATTCTCAATGACAACGTTACTCAGAAAAAAATTGGTTATTTCTTTGTTTGTATAATATAGGTGAAATGTTATACGTAATCAATGTTTATTTAAAAGACAATATGGCCGCTAATATTTCGACATTAATTATGTCATCATCATGAATTTCCTGCACATCCGTTCACAACTGACGCTGGACGCTTTTAAAGTTTTGGTAACACTGCTTGGGTATTTACCCAAGATCTTGGGTATTTTGACTTGGTCTTGGGTTCTTGGGTATTCGTTCAAATCCTTGGGTATTTTATTTTTACTAAGAAAATTAAATATTTTTGTCATAGAGGAAGAATTAAGAAGTAACAAAGTATATTTCAGTCCATTCAAGGATTCAAGTAAGCAAAACTCAACGAAGTGCACATAACATTGTTAATTGACTGTTAATTGCTATAAACATGGGTTCAGAATTGTTTATTTGTGATTTGCGTTGCCATTGATCTTACCTAATTAATGCATTACATAATGAAACTTAATCACTGATCTACACTGATAACACTGGCCGACTGAGGGCGTATTTTTCTATCCGTGAATATTAATTTTAATAATTAACACAAACAATTACAATAAAAATGGTTTATAAATTGAACTAAAAGGGAAACTATACATGCGAAAAACACGGAAAAACACGTATTTTTCAAATTTTAATGCATTTTCAGGAAGCTTGGGTAATTTTGGGCAATTTTTGCTGAATCTTGGGTAATTTCGACCCAGTCATTGGGTATATCAAAAATTGTGAGTGGAACGAAATTGTTGTTTTTTAGACGCCCGAAAATAACTTCTAATGCGTTTTGGATGATTATTATTTTTTTTTTCTCTCTCTTTCGGCCCGCCCCCTTTTCCCTAAATCTGCCTGATGACGCTGAAAGTAATATGAAAGGAGATGCTAGGGTTTAATAAAATAACACTTCATGTTATTTCATTAAAAAGCACATCCTTTCATATTAGGGCCTAATTGCAGCATCAAGGGGCTGTACCAAACGTGCAAAAGTAATGTAAAATAATATTAGTATAATAAAATAGGATATAAAATGTGTTTTGATTTGGTGATATTTGTACTCGCGACCTCTTGTTTACGGACCAGTGCTCTATACAACTGACAGGCATAGAGGAAATTATTGAAATACGTTCAAAGTTTGTTTCTGTAGTAGACCTATGTTAAGGGGATTTTACTTTTTAAAAGTAAAAAAAAGGTGGGGGGGGGGGGAAGAAAGAAAGAAGATGAAATTATTAATCGCCCAAAACGCCTCAGAGGTTATGCGGGCTACGGTCTAGGAAACAAAGGGTAGTGGGAATAATGGATTTTTTTAATTTTAATGGATTTATTTTAATGGATTATCAAATTAATGTATATTTTCTTACATAATTTATATATATATATATATATATATGTTGGTATTATTATTATTATTAGTTGATGTTTTACTAACTTATGTTGTGTGTGTTCTGATTACTATCATCATCATCATCATAATTATCATCCTTGCCATTAACATTATTATTATCATTATTATTATTATTATTATTATTATTATTATTATTATTATTATTATTTTTATTATTATTACTACTATTTGATGTTTTGCTAACTTGTGTTTGTTCAGTTTACCAATACATAGCACACTATCATTTGTTGGTATTACAAAATACTACATTCATAAAATTTAATTCTTAGCATAACATTTTATTATTACTTTAAAAGTCAGCAATTAACAACCTTAGATTCTACGTACGCAATTTCATTCTTATCTTAACATTTAATTATTGCTTTACTATAGTCAATAACTAAAAATAAATAATACATTCATCTTACAGAATTGGATAGTATTTTTTAGCTCGACTCTTAATTTTATGAACATTTGTTTGTAATTTCTATTACGACTTCGACCTGAAGAATTATTTGAGTTTTCAGACTTGTGCTTGTTTGTTCTGATTACTATATATAATCCGTTATCAGTGGTTGGTATTATTGTTAGGCCTATTATTAGTGAATATTTACTAACTTGTGTTGTGTGTGTTCTGATTACTATCATCATCATCATCATCATCATTATCATCATCATCATCATCATCATCATCATCATCATTGTCATTATTATTATTATTATTATTATTTGATGTTTTGCTAACTTTTGTTGTGTTGTTCTGATTACCAATACATACCACATTATCAGTGGTTGGTATTATAAAATACTACATGCATCATTCTTAGAATAACATTTTATTATTACTTTAGCAAAGTCAACAATTAACAACATTACATTTTACGTACGCAATTTCATTCTTATCTTAACATTTAGTTATTGTTTTACTATAGTCAATAATTAACAATAAATAATACATAGGCCTACATACAATTTAATTCTTATCTTAGTATTTTATTATTGTAAAAATGTCATCTCGTGTGTTGCTCATGAACTTTCAAAATTCAAATCTGATGGGTGCCTTCGGCGTGATAATTTCCTCTTCTGGTTTGCTTGTCTTGCGAGGCACGATGGCTTTGGCAGAGTTGGGTGCAGTTCGATCTGTTCAACCCCAATATCTTCTCGTAGCACTTTATCAACTATTTCTGCCACAGATTCATATGGTCTTCTCACGGTTTCTAACTTTATGTTGCATCGGATAACAGCTACTTTCCCTCGTACTATAAATACGGAAATAAAAAAAAATAGTCTTTACTTGAAATAGAAATGTAGATTGTGATATTTTTTAACATAACTGGCATCATAAAACATATGTGATTATGTAATCCACGAGTGTAATATAAAATCAATGTATCTAATCGTATATAATAATGAATGTAAAATAAATGTATTTAAAAAGTCGGGTGTTACAAGACGATTGTGATATTTTAAACATACCTGGCATCATACCGCATATGTGATCGTAATCCAGGAGTGTACTCCCCGCCTTTCTGAATAACAGTAGCTTTGCAAGTTCTAGCCTTCGTCCGAAGAGACAGCGCCAGATCGTGTTCGCTCGTCGCTTGTCAACTTTTTTGGTATACTGGTAGCCAAGACTGTCTACCAAAGTATCCTGTGGAAATAGAAATAGTTTAATATAGCATTATGAAATGTACAGCATGGTTTTTAGATATTTTCAAAAACTTATATACTTTTTAATCCATAAACTTGTACTCACAATGCTATAGATTATACTTTAATTAATGTTATGACTAAATATCTAATAGATCATAGATTACAATACCTTCCCACAAGCTGATGTGCCCTCTAGCACCGTGTACGTTATTTGGTCATCCTCATCGTCATTTTCAGGATTAGGTTGGGGATAGGGATTGTTAATCTCAACTTCTTGGTGCGAATCTGGTTTCTTGAAGGGTCCTTGGCCGGCGGCATAAACTTCTAACTTGTCAGGTAATTGCTGGACGTTGTCATTAACAGCACACTCGTTGCAACTCCGTTCGATGTAACCCTCCCTTACAGCTCGTTGATATTCCGCTTGCGTTACTCCAGAATCACGCTCCCGATGTTGCCATCTCTCACACTCCTCACAAAACAGTGTTTCTTGATGCTGCGTCACAGGTTGTTGGCATTGGATACATTGATACATTTTGAAGATTTGATCGAAAATGATGCCTTCTTGAAAAAAATCGCCCTACTTTATAGGGAAGCACGAGCGCAGGAAAGCGCGTGATTTAAAAAAAAAAAATATAATAGGTCTTTGTCTCTATTGATTAACAAAAGAATGTCAGATGATGCCGATAAACGCCGAGATGCGCTACATAACACAGTTACATCAAGACAATACATCTTTATTCACTGCGATTTATTTTTATTAGGAAACATTTTATCAAACAAAACACCAACAAAACCAAATACGCACATAAATTTCATATTCAGATTAAATTTTATTTGGAATTAGCAACTTAAGTATACATTTTTAAAAAGATATCTACAGTATAGATAAAATATACATTAAATGACTTGTTGCAATTTAAAATATTCAAAATATTCAAAATGTAAAGACCTCTATACGAGTTATTTCTTCGGTTTACTGTAATTTAATAGGCCTAATGATAATAATAATAATAATAATAATAATAATAATAATAATAATATAATAATAAT